ACCTCCTGAACATGAGATGAAACCACCGTCTTTGTAAAAATGTTTTGTTGCGATTGATCTGGCCCCCATGACAAATAGAACTGATTAAGTGTGTTTTTGATTTTTCTTTCTCTGGGGCTCTGATGTAGACTCCTGTTTCCCCAAAGTTTGAAGTCAATGCACTTGAAATTTAATGATACCCCAATCACAAACCAGTCTTCATTATTCTCTTTGTTGTTAAGACTGCTCTAATACAGTGGAAATGGCTGCATGATTACCTGAGTGCAGACCTGAACTCAACTTTAGAGCCTCTATCTTCCTCTAAAACAAGAAAACAGCCAGAGATGCAGTGTTTAGATGCTGTTACTTTGCAGTTCTTTGAGGTCAGAAGATATATTAATTGCATACATTTTCACCTAATGTGTTAAGTTATCAAATTTACTCTCATGATCTTGTTCTTGTTATGAATATTTATTATGCGTGTAGTTATTTTCTAAAATCACAAAACAGGCTTTTGTGAGATTACTGGTGGGGGGTGATTAGGTCGTGAAGCAGTAGTTCATTCAAGGCCTCCTCATGGCTGCCCTCAGAAGACCCTCTGTATTCTATTGATTTTCTATTGGGTTAGAGCAGAGTGGGCTTTGTTTAAATGGTTCTCCTTTGTTTTAAAGAGTGCCATGTCCATTTGACTTCTCTGCTAGGTTCAGGTGTGGGTGAAGGTTCCAGCGACAGAAGAAATGGTCAGAAAGTGGATAGTACTGTTGTCTCACAGCAAAAGGTTTTACGTTTGACTCACAAGGCCATCCTGACGAAGCCTACCCTAGGTGCTTTGAAAGATGGGTCAAATATGGGACAGATTTCACAATTTATCTTAAAACAAGTAAAATAAGATGCCAAATATTTGTTAAATGTGTGTGAAGTTGTATAGAAAAGAAATTGAAATCATTGCCTGCCAAAAATACTGTTACTACCAGTGTTACTACCACTGCTACTGCTACTGTTACTTCTACAACTGTTAATACTACTACTATTCCTTTACTACTACTACTGTTACTACTACTACTATTCCTCTATTATTACTACTGCGATTTTCTGACAACTGTGAGTAGAAGTAGAGAAGTATTGTTTTCTTTGTTTTTAACTAAGAATCATTTTACTTCAAACTTGGACTTTCACCCACAATGGCTTTAACAGCTCAAACTTTCTCTTTTCTGAAAGCCAGAAACTGCCACGGTGTTCTTTGGGTGCACATCTCACCTTTGGCTCTCTACATAATGTCCACTCATTATTATGTCCAGAGACTCAGCTCCAAAAGGTCACATCATGCGCTCATTTGTAACTTCAGTCCGGTTTTATTCTGCTCAGCTAACCTCCTCCGTGCACCGGGAACAGCCTCTCAACCTGTGACACACAACACTTTGTTTGAATGTTTAGTTCCCTTATTGCATGACATTTTAACGTCGATATGAAAGACCAAAGGGTTGCAGGAGAATCTTTGTCCTGGCCATAGACATCAGAAAGTGCATCACCGGTCAACTCAAAAATAAATAAATAAATACATTTTAAAAAGACAATATGGCTGAGGGGCACATAAATCAATTGGAGGTGTGAGTTTATTTATTTGATGGATCCCTTATTTGAAAAGTAACACATAATGAAGTTTAAATATCATGTTCTTTGAAATTCACAAAAACTTGCAGACAATATAGGCCTATAAATGTCAAACACGGAATACATTTACCAGCTCTGTGATTATAAGGACAGAAGCTCATTGAAGCGATGTTAGAGTAGCCTAGTATGCTGTATCCAGGTATATGTCAACACTACCCTCTGCTGGTTGAGCTTAGAAATTTCAGCACAGTCAAGATCAGAGCATCAGCCCATTGTTGTGTTACAAATTCATGTGTTTAAGAGGCATTACAAAAATACATAGGCCTACTGTAAAAGCTATATTGTTCTCACCTAATTGCATTGGGACTGCTGTTATCTCTGACTGCCTATTTAGTTTTAAGGTGTACCTTTTCCGTATGCTTGGAGATTTTCATTGTTAGGAATATTCCACAGTATGGCATTACATTTATCACAACGCATTTATGTAGTTGGGAAATGTTTATTGCTAGTGTGACCTGAAAAGAACCGTGAAAGTGAGTGAGGTTGTCTGTCCACAGATCTAACTTGGCACATCACCTTGACTTGGTGATGTGCTTGTCTCCTTGGAGATAGGTAAGTCTGTGCAACATGCAAACTAAAGCATCTCCATGGAGACAAGCAAGCGCTAGACCCTTCATCAGAAAAAAACACCTTTAAATCTTTCATGAGAATCTTTATGCTAACTAATTAAATTACATTTCAGCCTGTCAAAAGGAAACAAGGAAACATATAACACATATTCCTATTTGCTATTATATTCTAAAAATATGTCAGCTAGAGATGTCAGAAAATTAGAAGTAGTAATTAGCCATGACAAGTCCCTAATTTTCTGCCAGTATAAATGAGTGGATACTAATTATCACAGCGTGTCTTGGTACTCCCAGTGGCCTCTGGTTTGAAGGCTGCTGCTCAGAGCTGTTGGGCTGACACGCTCAATAACACACGCACTTTCATACTGCCTCACAGGACTGTCCAGGAAGCGTCAAAAAGTTCCCCATCTCTCAGCTCTGGCCAATACTGAGCAAGTATCCAAGCCCAAAGGGAAGCCATTGTCCTCAGAGAGCAGCTCCAAACTTGTAGCCTCAAACGCTTTTGGAAGATGATGAAAGATGGAGGAACCAGAATTCATCTTGTTTTATTTTTGGTCTAAAACAGAAGGTTCCCTGGAGTCAGAGAAGTGCCCAAGGGTCTGTCAGAAGGCTCTCAAACATATCCAAGTTCACAACAGGAAGTCAAGGCAGCCAAGAGACAGTTACATCCTTTATAACAAGCTGAATGTGTCCTCAGTGGAGAGCCAAAAGCAACAAATGTGATATTTTTCCCCTTGTGAATTCTTCAAAAATAACACTAAAAGTTCAAAATAACTTTTAATAGCCTTAATAAAGCATAACCATACTTAATGCCTACTGCCCAAATAGTTTATCAAGAAGGATTCAGGCTTAGAAACAACTTCATTAATACACTCACCCTAACTTCTAACTCAATCCCTTTTATTATGTGGTTACAAAGCCTGAATCATTCTTAATAAACTATTTGCTCATTATAAATTTAGTCTGTGCTCTATGTATCTAATAGTATTAGCTAGAATAGTGATGAATTTGTTTTGGATATTTTACTTTTCAGTGCTTGTAAGGTAAAAAGACAGCATGCTTTGTTGACATTTTCTTGCAAACACAAATGTCAAAATTGAATGTAAATATGTCTGAACTTTTCCTTGGATAGTGTAATGAATGCAGTGAGGGGTTGGCTCCTGTCTGTTCCTCTTCACTCGGCCTTATCAGTCTGTCACAGGTTAATGCTCCGTGTGCCCTGCTGCAGAACTTCAGGTGAACTCTAAAGCCTTATCCTTGGCTTGAAAGATGGGACAAAAATTACCTTGAACAGGAAGGAAATTGGACCATTAGTGTTTTCAGTAAGTCTGTCGGGGCTAATGCTATGTATTTATTATCTTGGTAAAGGGTAATAGGGTGGCTTCAGATATGGTTAAAACTTTATAACAGTTCTTATCTGTTGAACTGATCAATTTACCATTTTATAGTATCGTGGTACAAAGACAATATAAAATATACTCCCATCTACTTTTTGCTAAAATATTATTTTTGACTTTTAAAAACATTTATTGAAACTATAACTATCTTTTGAAGCTTATAATGTAGTGTGGCGACATGTACATTTCTAATGTATTTTTTAAGTCACACAATCTGAATAAATTGCATTTTCACAATGTAGTCCCTGGAAGACATCTGTATAGATGGTGTCTTAACAAGAGGTTTATGTTGGAAGAAATACACTTGCTAGATTCAAAACTTTATATTTTAATTTACATGTTAGATATACAACATATGTATGACCAGCGGACAGATCAATTATATAGTAAAATAAGAGAGACAACAAACTATTACGTTGGCATTCACTTGAACAGAACGTTCTTGTCTCCAATGTCCGTGTTATAACCAGGAGAGTACTTTTTTCCAGGAAGCTATAGGAACAGGAGAAGCATTGGTTAAGGTCAAACCAAACAGTGAGATCAATAGACAAATACTTTCTTGTTAGAAGCTAAATTAAAGTGGTATAAGTATAACAAACACTGCCCTTGCATGACTTCTCTTTCTAAACTCGAAAGTGTTGATAGAGATTACATATGCCTTTGACTGCACCCTCGCCTCTTTCCACTGGGAGCCAGATTAAAGAACAAAATGTCAGGTCGAAGCCTCGTGTGGTACACTCTCCCTTTTTTGCATCAAAAAGTCTCCAGTCAATAAACAGAAAAGGTCAAACTCAGACAATGTTTCTCTGCAAGACTGATGATAGCAGCTAGCTTGTACAATATCTGGCATTTGCCTTCTTGCATCGGAGGAATGGGAATTAGTTCAATGATGCCGACTCGATGTTTCTAAGGTTCACTTTGGGGGAAGCAGAAAATATATTATATAGGTGAGAAGATTTTCAAGAGATTCAAGCTGCAGACCTCCACCCCCATACCCCAAACACAGGCTGCACCAGGATACACCTACAAAGTATCACTGTATTTTTCATTATTTTATTCACTAATAACAAATCAATACTTGCCATCAGTTGTTGCTAATTGTTAATTGTCCATTAAAGATATTAAACCCCAGTTTCAAAAGTTTGAGTAAACAACAAAGAAAATAAATATCTAAAATGAATCTCTGCTTCATCCGTTTCCACTGGTTTAACAACATTTTAAAACTTAAAGCAGATATTTAATTTTTAGATGTTTGTTAATGTGTGTGTTTCCATAGAGCCTGCTTCAGGTTATGATTAGTCTTAATGCAAAAGATTAGGGTAAGGATGAGTCGCTGATTCTTGTGTCTGGTGTTGTCTGCAAAATTTGCCTCTTGTTCCTGTGACAATAAAGGCCACCATTTATTTTTCTATAGGGACCTGTGAGTAAAGGTCACATGGAAGGAAATTTGGCAGAGCCTGTAGCAAAGGTGCATGTCTGCCAGACACCATTGCCATCTGGTGCTGTTACTGCAGAATTATTAGATTGTTGTCTGTACCCAGCCTTAATGTCTATTGTCTACAGTGGTTCAAATTAAATGGATTCAAACATCATACCGATCTATATGCGTAGTATTTCTCATCAAACTCATGGGCTCCAATGGTTATTTCTGGAAGAAACTTGGGTATGTGGGTCAGTGATGCCACACTGTTTTTGTCTTCAACACTGTTCAGAAGAAATAAATAAAATTACTCTTAAATTGTTGATAGACAGCTTTATAAAATTAAAAATCCATCTTCACAATTGCTTAAAAACATGTGAAATGGATCTGACAGTGCTACACATTTTCTGCAGTTTTGGTGCGAAAACTTACAGCATTCTCATGTGATGGTACGTGACATCATCCTGCTCCAGCCAGGGCCCCTTCTCAAAAGACAAATACTCAATGTCTTCTGCCACCTTATCAATATCTTGTGCTTGAGTTACATCATAGGCAAGAAGCTCAGATGATTCACTGTAGAAGTACAATAAATATAAAATGTTAAAAAGAGTAAACAGCAACAGTTCTGTAAAAACATATCTTATGTATAGTCTAGTTATATAGTATTTATAACAAACCTGACTGAAGGCAGGTAAGATTTCTTGTAGCTGTCCTCAATGCTCTTCAGATAGGCCAGAGGGACGTTATGAAGATAGGACTATAAAAAGTTAGAAATTTCAGTCATTTATTTTTTTATTTTCAGCAAAGCATGGCCATTGCTTATCATTTGTAAGATGTTTTGCCTCTTTACCTTGCTGCTCTGTTTGAGCTTCTTCTGCACCTCTTCAGCTGGTTGATCAACATAAATCACCAGGTGAGGAGGCAGAAACTCACAAATACTAATATGTTTTATCTCATTATAGTGGTCCACACCTGAGAAATAAGGTAATAAATGTAATGTAAAAAATAAGAGCGGAATAACATAATGTGGTGTTGCTAGACACTGTGACACTTACAAGCTTTTCTGATGTAGCCCTGTTTGAACATGGCCTCCAGAAAGACCATATCACTAAATGGGGACCGTTCCAAGATCACTCCTTGGCCTAAAAAAAAGTAAAAACAATTTCAGTGTTATTACCTAATGTTCATACTCACATAACTTCTATACTACAATTTTATGCTGCTGTTAAGTTTACAAAACAAATTAGGTTAAATAGAAACTGAAGTTACTGAAGTTGAGATTAGAATAAATAAATGTCACATTTATATAGAGCGTGGCGGACAAGGACACAACAGTATCATTCATTTGTGGGAGCTTGAATCCCACAGCCAAACAGTGGGCCAGTGGATCTGATGGCTCTACCAGTATGGTTTAAAAGTTGGGATAGATTGTATAGTTTGCGGATACCTGTGGTGAGCATGTGTTCAATGGCGTCTGAGTACTGCAGCAGCCTCATGATGTACATCCAGTGTTGGAGTCTGTAGCTGTTGCCGTCAGCAGCTTTAGGGTCAGTGTAGAACTTCTCCAGGCTGCACATGCCATTAAAGTCCACAGAAAGAGGCTGCTTCTCACCAGTCATCTTGTCCATGTAAAACGTGTCAGCCTCGGGCATATACAGCATCCCTGGATATAATGTGCAGGACATATTCAGGTTGTTTGTATCGAGTCCATTCAATCGTAATGTATCGTCAATTCATATAGTTACCCAGTTTGTCTGCCAATTTCTGTGCCAGGGCTCCTTTCCCAGAAGCCAAGTTCCCTTCTACAGAGAAGATTTTACTGAGGCGGTTCAGTCTTGGTGTGGTCCTCTCGCCCAATGCATAAGCCCACCAGCCATAACGCAGGCTCCTGATTGGACTAGTGTGAACACCGGCCTATTAGACAAAATAAACAACTTTTCAGAAATATCCAAAAGGCAAATTTTACAAATGTTGAACCTGATCATTTATTGCATTTCAACAATTTTCATTTCAGCTGTCCCATCTGTATAAATAATACTGATCAATGATAAAATATTTAGCTGTCATCTAAAACCCAGCATTGTCCTTTTGTAGACTTACAGTGTCTAGTTGAAAACAACCAACAACCCAAAATAATATTTCATTCATGCATTGGTAATAGATGTCAGTTTATTGCTACTTGTTGTTTGTGGCATAAAATCTTCAAGATGAGTGTTGTGATGGTAGCGGCTAAGGTGTTAGCTTGTGGCTAAGTAGCTAGCGTGTCCTTGTGATTTGGAGCGCTTAATAAATGAATAAACATCTATATTTTCCAATCCTTACCTTATGCACTATGTTGACAGAGCTGAGTGCAGTTGTCCCAGAAGGGATAACCATACGGATTACCCTTAGGGCCATGGTTATCCTGCTTCCAAAAACGATCCGACCTGACCTGATCTGAACTAAACGCACTGTCGACTGGTGTGTGCGTCACGAGGGGGTCCTTCAGCATAAACGGCGACTAAAAAACACGAAAAAGGCAAATCCTTTTTCTGCCTGTCCGGTTCGTCCTTTAAGCTATTTTATTGAACTATTTGTCTGAATCATGGAGCTATTAAAATAAGATCTACGTCATTGAGTTAGTGAGTACTATGCTATTTTCCACTTCAATATAAATGTAGTCTTGTAGTTTAGAAGTGAAAAGGTAAACTCGAAAGTTTGTCCAATGGGGCTAATACAAAGAAGACCATTGTTTATGATAAGAATTTTCTTATTTTATTTGAACAATATCCAAGAGAACATGAAAACTATTACAGAAGCAATATTCTGTTTTCAATAACGCTGCGGCTGAGCTCTTGTGCTCAGATTGGGCTATCCATCATGCAGTATTATTAATTTACCAGCAGGTGGCGCGTTATCCACACTTCAATGAGTGTACGTAATCAAGATTGGAGCTTTAGAAATTCTTACAATTATGATAACACATTATAAAGAACAAGCGTTTAAAGGCACTTATTTCTGTAGCTATGAAAATGCAATAATTTTTCTAAAATATAGGTTAACCAGCGCATTGGATGTTATGAAATCTGTATTTTGCCACTCTTGTTTTGTCAACCTTTGGTCTAAAAACAACATCAGGCTATAGCTGCTGACCTGCATCCTGCCTAAGCTAAAATAGTAAAGACATCAACTGTTTGTGTAATCTCTGTGATCCAGCAGGAATGTAAACAGGGCATTGAACAATACTTGACCTCCTTTTGTGCACTGATACAGTAATGACTCACCATTAGGGTAGACTCATAATTATCCTGATATAGTAACAGCAGGTTCTGGTGGAGATGGCTGATTACAGCTCTGCACCATTATCTACAAAGGATGAGCCTCGGGGAGATTATTTCTATTCCTGCTTTTGTTTGTTTGAGGCTAAAATTAACGGACACTTCGTACAACACCATTGTTCAAATTCAGGACAAAAACAATACTTCGGAGTTATGGAAGTTATGGTTGAAATTTATAGTTTAAAAGTCTTGTTTTTTACATTTTAAAATGTTAATAAGATGCAACATGGCAGAAAAATAAAACTACTTCATATAATATTTGTAAAATTCCTTCTTGGTAACTTCAGATGCAGACACTGAAGAAAATTTAGGTCTGCATGCGCCATATGCTGTATCTGTTGGTTAACAACTGCAGTCATATGGCCTTAATTTGATTTTTAATTGTAATTGAGTTTTCTGAAAATTATCTTTATTTGTTGTGTGAGTTAGTGGGTCCAAATTACTGTGATGATCTAAATGAACTAAAAAACAAAGATGAAAAAGTAAGTAGTATATTAAAAAAGATTCAGGCTTAGAAACTACTTAATTAATACTCAAACTCCTAATCCATTAATGAAATAGTGTCAACAATCATTTTTGATCAACTATTTCATTATGAATGAAGTCTTTGATCATGGATTAAGTGCCAATTAGAGTGTGTACAGATATTTATTGTTGTGCAATAAATATTGTTGTGCAGTCTCTTTTGGCTCAGTTGAATTACCTCTGCTCTGACAAAACCAGTTAACCTTTAACTTGGTTGATACACTTTGTACATACTTGAAAAACCTGCACATGCACTACTGTATTTGTCTCAGACCCCTTCATAGACTGTCACTTCTTGTAGTATAGTTAGAGTATAGCACCAACTGCAGCTTTTCACACCTAAACATGCGAGACTTTACATAACACCTCCAGCCTTGTCAACGCATACGTCTGACTCACGGCCTGTTTCCTCCGTTCGCTTGGAAACCACTAATGTAAACATGCCTGACAGTCAGCTCCACCACTTCATATTTCACCGGGAAGTCAGGGCTAGCACGAGAGCTTCAGCTGCATACACTCAGCAGCCCTGCCCTAACGAACCCGCTGGCAAATCTAAAATCCAATTACATTATTGGAGACAGCATCCAGATCACCAACAATAACCTTATTTGCTTTTGTTTTCCCCAGCACTTCCACTGACTCCTCATCAGCCGGATGCAGCAGCAGCATTGTTCTACCCTCTTTTTATCCACCGTGTGTGAATACATAAACAGTTTAAGAAAAGCAAACTAAATATTTTTAAGTCTAAATGGCTTTTTGAGTGAGGTGAAAACAATATTAGCATGCATATGTTGCGTAATCACTTTTAGATGGAAAATGGAGTATAGGGGTTATGTAAGTTCCCTACATCTATCTACAGTAGCTGTCAGCACACCCTGTATTTGGAGAATGACTCAAAAGTTAGACCAATGCTTAACTTTGAGCCAAGTGAAAGTCAAACATCAGAAACACTTAAACGTTTATGTTCAATGTGTGTGTAGTGTCGAGTATAATGAAACGGGAGTGAAAAGTGAGGCGCTCTCCTCCACATACTTCTCAATATTTAGCACGCAAAGCTCCTGTTAGACTGAGTGCACTTGACTGGGTTTTGTATACCTAGCAATATGGCCTCTGATAGAACAATTGGACCAGTTACTTCCCAGTAGCTCAACCCATTTACCAGGGACATGCATGAGTATGGTCCAGCCCAAAACTCTGTAAATCATTATTAATGATCCCATTATTTATGAAGATAATACAAATAAATGTCAGTTGTGCTGGGTTTTTAATCCCAAACTCAAATGATCTTATCCCAAAGAGAAGTATGTATGTATTTTTAAACACACCAAGTGTATAGCCATGTTGTGTCATCTAGACGTGTTCCATGACTTTTTAAAACCTTGTTAGCACTTAATGCAAATACAACAAAGTAAGCCAGTGAATGCAGCTATTGCAGAAACCTTGGTAACGTATGAGAGTCCACATCACTGTATATCCAGGAATTTTTGCTGTGATTTTGTGCCATAGCTACATTAGGGGAAAATCATTCCAACCACATGGATCCGAAGTAAAAACAAATAATTCGTTTTGGTGGATTTTGGAAGATTATGAGTGCTTTTAGTTTGGATATTTAAAATCTCACAAATTAGACACAAAAATACATTAATGCTACTCTCAACAAATACATGAAATGTTAGGCCAAATGTAAATGTCTGGATTTGGCTAGAAACACTGCACAGTGTTTTCAGAGCATTGGTTTTGTAAGATGTAAAGTGGTGTGGGAGTTAAAGCATGCTGTGTGGAAATCTGATCTTGAATATATTACATTAATGCATTCATAAGGGCAGTCACGCTATGTTTTCTTAATCTGAGTGTTTTACCAATCAGCTGCAGCAGCCACATGCTGTACAAGGTGGACAAACCTACAAGCCTTCTCCCGTAGACAATCATAATGAAAGAAATGTGTGCAACAGATGAATTTACACACAACACAAGTAAATAGTTAAGGCGCACACAAAGGCGCACACACCCAACAGGAACAGGAGTAATTAGTCAACAGTAAAACAACAATACTGCACTCTCAGGTCTCACTGAAGGCTGAAGGCTTTTGGCAAATCTACTCCTGCCAAATTTCCCTTGCGTTTTTACGGCTGCTTTTATTTCACTTCTCAGCAGTTCGGACCAAGCCTGAAGGATGCCAACAGGGAGGAGGAGGGCAGCCCCGCATTGTTTATCATTAAAACAACCCAAAACGCATGGCAACTGAAAATAGTAGCAGACTTATATGATAATTTATATGAGCTGTTGTATGTATGGTGTTGCATGATCATTATAAAGGTTTTCTAGTATTAAATAGGTGTCGACCACTAATTCTTTTGTAAAATTTATCGCAGGCATCATGTGCGTCATAGGTTCCTTAAGGATTTGGGTGGATTATATTTAGATGTGAATTCGTTCATTAGCTAGACTATCGGGGTATCGCTTTTGATTGGTTGGTTTGTCAGAGTAGCAGCAAGACTATTTAATGAATAGCCAGTATATATTTATCATCTTTTGGTGCAAATGTGGAACCAGAATTTGTTTAAAGCACAATAAAGGAGTTAACACTTCCTGGAAGCATTGGAACATTTATATATATATTTTTTAAATTTAAGCAATACCAGATTTTCTATAGCAGAATTTAAACTATACATTTTTCAGTAGATATTCATAACCCACAGACATCAGAAATTATGATAAAAAGAAAGATATATATACTGTCATATTTCGTACTACGTTTTGATACCGTTTTTGTACTAGTTCTGTTCTAGATTTACTTATGTTTTTTGTTATACACAATATGCACAGTATACAAATCCTCCTTCTAGGTACTCCTGGCAGAGTAAAGGTATACTTAACAAACTTAATATACTTATCTAACTACAATAGCAAAACTATCACTGAATCCCAGAACCATACTCCTATTCCTGTCAGCACATCACATCAGAACTTAAAGGGATGCCACAAGGTCTTGCACAACAAAACTGGCACAAGATTATGCACACAGTAATATGTCCTTTGCATTGGACCTATGCCGCTGGGGTAGCAGTAGTGCTCCCATCTCCAGATCGTGAGCTATAAGCTTGGTCAGCTTTGTCAGATGGAGGATCTTACCTGTTGTGCATGCTTTGGGTTGATGGGAGAAACTGTAATTGCCAGAGGAAACTGACTTAGACAAGGGGAGAAACATGCAAACTCTGCACTGAATGCTCCAGAGCGTCCCAGTACTCAAAACCACAACCTTCCTGCTGTGAGGCGAAAGTACCATCTTCTCAGGCACCATGTCACCCATGAGGGATATGATCTTGTGAGGTCTATGTCTTTATATTTCACAGGGACAGAAAATGGTCAAGTGCTTTTAAGTTACACCTCTTGAGAAGCCATAGTTAAAAAGGAGGGCCACATTGACAGCAAAAATGACCTCAAAATCTCGTCTTGACTCATTCTGGTCGACCAACTCTCATGTTTTGTCTTGTCTTGAGGGAACTGTGGCTCGTCCCACCCGTTTCTTACATATCTTTCTTTTCCAACACTCTGACATCTTTGAAAAATTATTGTGTTATTTCTAAACACATCTTGAGAAGAAACTAAACTAAAATAAATAATCTTCAATCATTTTTTGACTAAGCTCTGAGTCATAACTGGCACTCAGAATACAAAAATTACTGTTTATGTTTTTGAACTGGATTGCTACTGAAGTACTTTGCAGGCATTTAAATTACACACAGTTCTTGTGTGGCTTTTTTCATTTGTTTCTCACCCAATGCTTTTTTTTACTACTATCAGTGATCGCTGACCACACAAGTGCAAATGAGCAGTGTGCGTTATGTTCATTCAGTTAATAATGTAATGGGCCAGTTACATGTGAGTACATGTGCGTGTGTGTGTGTGTGTGTGTGTGTGTGTGTGCGTGCGTGCGTGCGTGTGTGAGTGTGTGTGGAGAGGGCCCTCCTGTTGTTCGCACAGTTCTGTCTTCCCAGAGGGCACGGGTCCTGCTTTTCGTCAAAATCACGCCTGTTTGAAAAGGACTAAGCTAGGGGCTAATATTGCACAGTCGGCTGTTTTTTTTTTTTTTTTCACAGCTGTAATAAATCTGAAACAGTAACACAAAATTACTTTGACTTATAGTGTACGACTCGTTCATGATGTTAGCATCCAGGTGTCAAATATAGGAAGTTGTGTATAGTAAAGAGTAGGTCAATGTGTCTTTCATCAACAAAAGAAGTCAAAATATGAAAGCTTTTGAGTCAATATTTACAGTAGTTGTACAGTTATATTTGTTGCCCCATCACAAATGCAGTAAATGTGTTATTCATGGTCTAAATATAATATTAAAGGTGAACTAACAAGGTTAATGCCAAACTAGAACTTTCAGGCTAAGCAATAACACCTGCATGGTAACAAAAGGTAGGTCTAGGGCTGAATCTCATGGCTTAAGTAAACCTTAAATCATCCTTAGAGTTGACCTAAGCTCTCATATTCTCAAACGTGTGACTCACTGACAACTGACTAGGGCCACACCTCTTGTTTCCTCTCCAAAATACATTATCTAAATGAATATAAAACATATGAATGAATGACACCCGTCCGTTTCCTTGGTTGATTTAGCTAGTGCAGAATTAAATTTAGGTTCCAACATTAAGGAAGTGAGACAAACTTTTAACAACTTTTACTAGAATAACACATCCTGTAAGACACAGGTGTCAAACATGCGGCCCAGGGGCCAGATCCGGCCCTCCAAGACCTTTAATCTGGCCCTCGGCTGATTTTCTACTAAAATATTTTAATAATATTTTCTAATAAAATATTGGTAATTTTCTGTGGTGTTTATCACAGCAGCGTCTCCAGCGTCTCTGTACGTGGCCCCTCCCACCAGAGCAGCACAAATGAAGACTTGTCTCTTTCCAAATGCTCTTAAAGGACGATCGTTTTGACTGTTGACTGTGACACCCTCATCAGAAAAATGTCCAATATGAGAAAAGTGGACGCTGAGTGCAGGATTTTCCAAGAAAAAATTGACTTATTCTTATTTGCTAACAAGTTCACGTTAAAATGCTGAAACTGCATTTTTCTTAAAGTTTCAGGTTGTTCATAATATTATAAAATTATAATAAGAAAGAGTTCATCAGTTAAAAAAGATTTCTGTAATAGATTTGTGTTTCTCTGCACCAATATTTTAACTTATTGTTATTTTTGGGGTTTATATGACATGAGTTTTCTGATCCCGCCCCTTTGGGATCAAAGTAGGTTGGATATGGCCCCCGGACCAAAATGAGTTTGACATCCCTGCTGTAAGACAATCTGGTAAATTTTGATCTCGTTCCAAGAAAAGTGGCACATCCTGGAATTTATTTTACAAGATTGCACATTCCTTGGCAGCTGTCTTTTTAATGAATGCACTTAATATTTTAATTGTAGCTGAAGGCTTGAACCCTATATTGAGTTACTTTCAGTCTGATTTTGGATGTCCAAATGATCCACTTCTGCTCCACATGTAAAATTTAGTTGAGCCCCTTAATAAGCCAAGGATTGCAGGGCAATGCATGACCTAAAATGTACTCCAAATGTAAGAAAAAAAACAGGAAATTCAAGACACAAACACTCAAGTTTCAAGCCAGAAACGTATGGGATTTTTTGCAAGTTAGCTACCCAATTTAAAACATAATTTTTGGAGCTGAATTACTTAAATTCAGGATCAGTAAATTTGGAGTAACCATGAGATTTGACATCTATTGAAATGCAGTTTACATAATAAAATTCACATATTTGTCCTTGGACAGAAAGAGGAAACTGTAACAGACCTAATATATCCAGTTGACAGAATTAGATTTTGATTTGAACAGCTCGTCATAGTGGAGACATGTTTTTTCTATGAAACATGGTTGAATGAGTCTGTAATGCCTCAGAAAATTTCAACCAAAACGCGTATTGTCAGTCTTTTTTATACAATCGTTTGCACATACGCATTTCATGATTAAGTCATTTTAGGTCATGTAGACTGCCTATTATACAACTATGTTATTTTTGTCATTGTTCTGTATTTGTTCCTCAGTTGTTATTTCTACTGAAAAGCTGCATGTTAAATAATCTAAAATGATCCACTGCCAACTCTACAACAGTTAACTGCAATGGCTGTTTGTTCAAACCTGGAGCATTTTATGAATTTCTGATAATGAGCCTATTTCTGGAGGTGGACTCCAGTTAGACTTTGGCTTTACACAAAAAAAAAAAAAAAAAAAAAAAAAAAAAACTACATAATGTACAGTTTGTCCTTGTTACAGTTACATATGGTGTCCTAAGGCTAAAGTCTATCCTCTCTCAGTGACACAGACAGCAGCTCCTACATATTCAAGTCTCCACCTCAGGCAGCTCTGACTCATATGGCACAAATCATTGCTAAAAACAACCAATGTCTGCTCACTACTTTTCATTTCAAACTCTAAAACCTTGTCAAAGTTGGACTAAGCTGTTTACCAACCCATTTGCATTAGTATTAACATGGCAGTGGCGTGAAAATAATATGAGGTCATATTTTGGGAACAATAGGCTGATAAAACACTGTTACATTTAAACACTAAAGGTAGATGATATGGGGAAGTGCATTTGTCCAAGATAAACACTCATGTTTACAGAAGAATGATGGCAAAGCTCAGGCTTTGAATTGCTTCCATGGGAATGCCTGGTAGCAAGTCAAAATCTGCCATTAAAGACACAACCTTAAAACAATAGTTCAACTTGAGATGGTTTAGTGCTTTTGAAATAACATGGCAAACGGTCCAGATGGGCTTCCAAAAACACAGTCATTCTAGTGTGTGACTACATCCTAATACTAATAATAGCATAATCTAATACTTGTAATATTCTGTTATTACATTGTTCAACATTGTTAAAAAATTATCTGAAACTGCACTGTTTACAATAGTTATTCTTAAGACAACAGTGAGTGTTGTGGGGACAGCTCATGATGACCACATTTGAAAGTGAATGCACGGGTCCCCGTCATTGACCCTTTCATAGATACACAACAGACACTATCATGTAAAAATATCTTCTCCTAGTATGCTGTAAAAATTTATCATAAATTTGCAGTTATGCACTTTTTTTATTATTATTTATGTATTTACTTATTTGACTGCTTAGAACTACTCGAATTAAAGTAATTTCAGACTTGGTTTACCTGATTCTAAGATACAATCCTGCTTTAGTCTGATTTTAGTCCTGTTTTGGAGCTGTTTTAGTCCTGTTGGTACTTGGAGAGCCAAATATTTTCTGAGGGGATAGGCTCTACATGGTGTCAAATGTTTGAAAATCATTGATATAAATAAGGAGCATGTGTAGGCCTATTCTGTGGCCTCTAGTGGTGATGAGGGGGGTTACATGACCAAACTTATTTAACAATGGACCTAATTCTGTGAAATGGTGTGTTCATGCAAATAAACACAGACATATTAAAATATACCCATGTACCCTATAAATGCTGTAAGAAATCCAACTCATTGCATTTAATCACATACAGGAGGCCTAAAGGGTTGCAGCGTTAGAATTATGAGATAAAGTTGCACAACGGGAAAACGATTGCTTGTGTAAGTCAAAAGTTACAAAACCCAAAACATAAGTCACAAATGCGGAGGCTAAAAGAAGCAATCACAAAGCAGCAGTCCACCTTAAAAGTCCTCTTACTTACAGTACATACACATTTCCTGAAAACGCCCCGTGCAGGGAAAAAAAAAAAAAAAAAAAAAAAACAGAAAGAAAGAAACATACTCGAGTGACTCTGAGCTGTAATAATAAGGCTGTGTTGTTTATCTTAAGAAGAGGGGCTGGACATTTGCTCATTTGTGCTGTGGACTTTCTATCTTTCCCTTTACTCCTCATCTCCATACTTTGGAGCAGTTTTCAGTCTGCCGCTGGAGTCTCGCACAAACCGCCGCTCCGCCGACCAAGGTCAGCGACAGTGACCGCCCACGAGAGCTGTCATCGCGGCACTACAGCTCTGTGGGCGCCGAGAGCTTTCTAACTCCAAACGGGGCTATGTAATGCGCACAATCTCGGGGACCGGACATTTATGGATGTGGAGGAAACCGTTCAGTTTCAGAGGATTAAACGGATTCGAACAACTTTAACCAAACGTCAACTATAAAGTGACAAAAGTTCACCAAAAGTGACACCATGTTAGGAAACCCAGGGACTTACGCGAACAAGAAGAGGAAGAAGCCAGTTCTGAAACAGTAAGTTTAGATTATCATGTTGTTTAATCATAACGCGCAAAAATGGGCAATTCAAGCGCATTTGGATGTTTTACAGTTAAAAAGTCTAGCCACCAAAACATCGTGCAAAGTTAAGAAAATGCGCATAACTTGTAGGCTAGTTTGTGCTTCAAAAAGCGCTTCAATGCATGTGCGTAAAGTTATAATAATAATCATTTTGTCGATGCATATGAACAAAGATCAGACAAAATCACGTCGTCTAGATTTAGTCCCTGTATGTGGTCGATTTTGAAACAGCTTAATGGCTAGACTTAAGGCGTGGTCTTGTGTTGCCAATTTAGCCTAATTATAAAAATAGGCTGTAGATGAATAAACCAGCCAGGTAAGAATAGCGCATTGTGGCTTATGTTAGAGCTAATGGCTTTCCTCGGCTGTAACATGTGCTTAGAACAACACAAAGTGAGCAGACAGGAAGTCGCGGAGACAACTGTACAGAAGTCAAAGAGTGAAAAGTTAGTCCCTTAAAATCATGGCGATCTGTCTCGTTGCTTTCATAAAGTAGCCTCCATAAAGTGTCTGGGCTGTGTTGAGTTGGAGGGAGACGCAGCGGTTCTGTGTGTGTGTGTGTGTGTGCGTGTGTGTGCGTTGCTCACTTTTTGGACTACCTTAAGAATGTGTGTAACTTGGATCTGGCATGGATATCTTACCCTCGCGCATTAATCACAATCAAGTTGGAGAGTCGGCTGCTGCTCTCACGCGATGCTCCGAGGAGGGCGGGGGCGCGAAGGGGGAGGCCAGGGCTCCGGGCTCTCAGTGTGTTTTTGTAATCTGATATGCTCTGCGCTGCCTGCACCGTTGTGGGATCACTGCTGCCTGCTTGAATTGTGTGCTTTCTGCTAGTCCCAAGCCTTTTCCTCTTGTTCTGTCTCAGCCGTATGCAAGTTTTCTCTTCTTTCTTTTGACCTACTTTGTATCTTAATAAACCTGCCAATAGTTGTGTAGCTAGTCTTGAATGTCTAAAAAGTTTTTCTCTAAGGCCAAATAGTCAAATAGTCATTTTTTGCCATTATTAAAGGAGTTGAAATATATCCTTCTACCTTTTTCTTTTTCTCGTTTATATTAGAAGCCTTCTGTATAGGTTGTGTAGATTTGCAATCTACATCAATTCCCAATCCCAATCATCCAATCTTGGCTAGCAACAAGTACAAATATGCCATTTTGCATATTACCTTCAGTTGATACAAGAAAAAACATGGCCTGTATTATATTTTTATGGTGCACTTTTTCATTGGTCACAGAAGTTGGTCCAACTAACTATTTTATGCCATATTACACAATGCAACAAATTAAATACTTTTAAGAACTACAAACTAACTTGCTTGCCCTGGTCGTCAAGCGTGAATGGAACTAGTTGTGTAAACATTTGTAATCAAAGTTACTCAATGGTTAGAAACTAGACAAAGGATTGACGTTTTCTTTGAAAGGAAATACAGAGCTAAAGTTAACATGTCAGGTATGAGACCTGTATTAAAAGAAATAGGAGGATTTACAGTAGACAAAGTTAGCCCCATTGTGGACCGTCTGTCTGACTGGTGTCAGATTAAACTGGGAACAGTGAGGCCATCTGGGGGGATGACTCTTTTGACACAACATTTTCAATACCAGATGGCTAATTATGCAATATAGATGGTGTCCTCTCACGGAAGGTTTCTGCTTTTTTCAATTGCACAATTCCAGTAACAATAGCTACACTAGGATGAAACTGAATTTGCAATAAACAACCAGGCAACCAGGATCTCAAAATATGTTCTTCAGACATCTTTGTTGATCCAAACTTCCTCATAATAGCATGTGGTGATTGGTCTGAGGGCAGCCACAGGTCCACCACAAGAATTACCCCAGATAACCTTTACTGACCTCCTACTACTTTTTCTAGTGAAGCATTAGAAACTGATTTTGTAACATAATAATAAATCTGATATTTAAGCAGTTATGTGGGCCTATAAAGCAGCAGAGACCTGGCGACTCACAGCCGGTTGGTTGCCTGTTCCCAGTATAATCCCAAAATAAAAAGGTAGACTGTGCGCAGACATCTGTGTTTCAGAAGATGCGGGCCGTGCAGTGGACTGAGGTTTCCTGCGCGGCCAGCTGGGCTCTGCCTGCACAAAGGCACTATTGAGCCTGACTGTAAAAAGCTGTGGTCACTACATAGGGGCATTCCATGTCAGATATGTCCATTCAAATTCTCTTTTTATTGGCTGGCGTTCCCTCTTCACCCTAAGACTCATTTGCCGGTGTTGTGCTGGTCCCAACCCTGGAGAAATAGACAGCATAGCATTAGTGAAAGCATCTATGTCCTCTATATGCCTCTATACCTTAAGTATGATTTGCTGTGAAGAATCATAATGTGAAATCAATAGTAGAAAAGTATAAAGGAAAGTTGATATGACTACTACTAAGTAGTTGTTACAATTCAGTTCATACTGTTTTAATGCAGTATGCAATTGAACAATTGTTTTTATGTCTAATCACGTCAAAATATGTATTGTTCTCCCAGAGTTTCCTGAAACTTGGATTGCTATGGCTTTTCAACAAGAGCTGGCTTTCCTAATAAGTCGGATAATATTCTTTACCAAGGCAAATATTTTCAGATGAGATTACTGTCGGTGGATTGTGAGAATGAGACTCACTGATAGGAGGCGTGGCACCAAGCCAAAAGCATTCCTGGTGAACACAGTTTTCCTTTGTTTCATTGTTCATGAGAGGCATCACTATAATCTCCAGCCAAACGCTAAAAGCCAGTACTTAAACACAAATTACCCAAATTTCAAGTTTTGGTAAAATAAACTAAAATTACATTCAATAACAATCAGCCCACTTTAAAGAAGTTAAGGCCAAACAGTTTGAAGTGCATCATAATAACAAAGTAATTATAATGCATTTTATGCTTGTTGCAGATTTTTGCTTGGTTATATGGCTACATCATGTCTCTTGGTCAATAGCACAGAAAAATCAAAAGCTCAAGTACGCTCTGGACAAAGAGGAGGAAACACTTCCTCTCACGGGCCTGGGCAGGATGGCCCTCTGACCGCAGCTCCAGGAGGACTGAAAACACACAGCACTGAGCATTGTTATATCAGCTGTAGAGGGCTCTCACTGTTGCATTTTTGTAAAGTAGAGCTGAACGGTTTAGGGAAAAAATTATGTTTCTAACAGGAATTTGCGATTTAGGTTTGAATGGAGAATTTTGTTCAAAGTTCACATTTTAAACATAGTAAAATTTTAGAGAAGCCTAAAATATGAATTGCATAACTAATGCAAGACTCTCATGCATTTCAGAACATGTTTGTAGAGGTTTAAACCGCAGGGTTAGCAGGTTTGATAAGGCAATGAGACAAGATAGTTTCTCATTTGCAAATCAAATTATGTTACCTAAATAAGTGCAGTCCCTGTGATTTGAAGATGGTGATTATTAAGTATTTATTACAATATATCTAGCATTCCAAATGTCCAGATTATAAGCGTGTAAAATCTATAACACACACATACATTCTTCATTCTTATTTTTAGATCTTAAGAAGGAGCTTTGTCATATAGACATTTTGGCATAGTGCTATACTTGAACCTCAAGATACTTACAGGCACATTATAGCACATTACAGATCCGTTGTTATTGTCTGCATATTGTTATCTAGATAGTGACAAAAAATACTGGCATGTTCATTTTTGCCAGTATCACCCACGTTTAGCGTACAATACCCCCAGCAAAGGCCAGTTTCTTCAATAGGCTCCAAGCCATAACCCCAAACCCTGAAGGCTTCAATTACTTGAGATGACAGATTTGAGTAGAAAGAAAGAACATTGAATAAGTTGAGGGAGTTCTTCTAACCATTCATCATCCATTTATTGCCATATCCTCTATAGCTCTGTCCTCTGTCCAACTAAAGCTGGTTTTGTACAATGTGACCAAAAGTGAAAAGAAAGCACACTATTTCGGATCAGCCAGAAGTCCAGGCGCTGGGCAAAAGTGTGTCATTCCAGTCTGTCTCTGCTGCATAACAGGGGTGAGTGAGGTCAAAGCACTGCCCGTACGATCCAAAGATAAGGAAGACAAACAGAAATACTGGGGTTTTCGTGAATGAATGCATGAGGTGGTCTGCTGCCTGGCCCCATGATCCCAACCAAATCAAGGTGGAAAACTGCTCCTGAATGCTGGCTTTTGTCTGCCTGAATTTCTCTGCAATGAGATCAGTCTTGGTCCAAAACTGAATAGGTATAACGCAAGTTGCATTAAACTGTGGTAAAGCAAGAAACTGAATTGTGTATTATTAACCGGAGTTGCACTACAGAGACAATTAGGGAGAAGGTTGGAGAATTTGAACTCACGAATGACAGACTTGAGCCCAGTGGATATGATCAAAAATGGCAGCGGGCCTACCGGCTGAACTATGATCTCACTCTGCTATTAAAGACATGAAGAGAAAAGCAGTCGCCTTGTAGGATTTGTTACACTTTTCCATAAAGACAGATCAAAACGTGGTGCTCATGGTGCTCATTCATACCTCTAAAAACTATCATAGCTAATTAAAATACTCAATAGTACTATAACGTATCAGATTTATGAGTATGCTTTTATGATTAGTCTAGCTCTGAGCTCAAATACACAAACATGCGGTCAGCTTTTACCCACTGCACCCACTTATTCGGCTGCTGAGTGACAGGCAATTTGACCAAACCAAACTGAAGTGTGATCTTAGGGAGGAGGAAGATCTTGTCAAGGCAATATAAAAATGGATGAATAAAATTAATATTGTGATCTAGTTTGATTTGTTTGCAATGTCATTCATCTTAGTGACATTTACTGAAAAGAAAGATGAGTAGTATCTGTTTTGCTTTAACCTTAACCCTTTAACATAAACTGATTACAGCATGGATTTTGAGTACTGTTTTGTTTTATCTATACAGAGTGAAACTTCATACTTGTCTGGATTTGTCCAATGCAATAAAAGTAAACTAAAAAGTGAAAGAAAAAAAATTATATGATGATCTACACCATTATAAGGTTTTTACATGAACCTGGTTTCTTACGTCATAGATACAGTCCTGCAAAATACTATTTTACAACTGGAGTTATGTCATAAAAGTGCAGACTAGACAAAGATTTCATGCAAAGATTTATGCTCCTTTTTATCTAACAAGTCATATAATAATATAAATGTCATTTTGCTTAACGTTATATAAAGAAAGCTGGGGAAATGGGAAGTTCAGATTTAGCTCTAGCTGCTGCTCATGCTGAACTGAGATAGTAGCGCTACATTTGATAATCAATCCTTAGCACCTGTTTGAGGATTCAACTATTTGTATGGTCCAAAAGCGGTTTACAGTAACACATGTGACCGTGGTGTGTCCAGTTGGTGTGTAATGACATTTATGGTGTCTAATAAGCGCTGTAAGTTTGCATTTTTGCAGTGGGTGGTCCTAAAGTGAGAGAAAATAAAACTGCTCTCGTGGCAAAGAAGTGACCACCGTTTAGACTAACTTCATTAGCCATGCTTTGTGATGATTTCCAATGAAAATAGAGGTACTTTCTCCATGTTTGTCAGACAACGGCTAGTTTACTCTTAATGGCTATGGTGAACCAGGAAGGGTCTCTGGTGAATGCGCAAATGAATATGTGAATCACTCCTCACTCACACAGAGATTTGTTGTTGCCCAGAAAAGGAAATTTTGTAAGGAAAAGATGATGCTGTTGTTATTGTAATACTGTTAGGAAATTTCTGAATTTACTGACAATTAGGGATGGACAAAATATCTGTGCCAGTATTAGTGGTATTAGGGGATTTTTGTCATATATGGGTAAAAACTAGGATTAATTAGCACCAGTAATTTGTGCATCATGTGTCTTTTTAAAGGCTATTGTCTGATCTATGTTATAATGTTTCCCTTATCAAAAACATACCTGGAGTTGTGTTTTGTTTCATTCACACATATCGTTGGGATGCAGACAGCTTAGTAATGCAGGATCACTCAAACATGTATGAAACAAAACACAACTCCATGTGTGTTTTTGGTAACAACATTATAAGATCGCTAAAATGCTAACAAGAGTCAATTTTGGCAGAGAAACTTTAACTTCAACTTGAAGACCTATATACTTTTAACATCTTGATATCAATAGAAAAAAATATTGCTTATTGGCAGAAAAAATCCATGAACCATTTTATTTGAGTCGTTTTGAAACACAGTACTATCAGTTCCTTTTTTTCTAGGGTCCTCTTTGATCTGACTTTCCCAGCTCAAACATGTTTTAACATTCCTCTTTTATTATTTTTTCACTATATAAACAGCCTTGACGTTGATTTGAAGTCTGGCACTTTTTGAATCAGCTCTTGACTCACTTAACCCCACCTGCAGTGTTTGAGTGTTTGTTCATCATATTTATAGCTCCTCTTTGAATAGCCCTGAAACTGGCCCTTGGTTCTAGGTTGTTTTGGGCCATGCTTAAGTGGTGTGTCATACCACATAGGGCCACAAATTGCATTACCGTCTCCCTCCATCCATTATCCAGACTAAACTCCAGCAGTCTCTCCTGTTGACCTCATTCAAACTCACTCATGGTTTCTTGTCACTCCGCAGAAAGAAGGCTTCAGATGGGAACGATGTGGTCAAGTCCAATCCGTCCAAGCGCCATAGAGACCGGCTTAACGGAGAGCTGGATCGCCTCACCGAACTGCTGCCGTTCCCAGAGGAGGTGCGCTCCCGGCTGGACAAGCTGTCAGTGCTGCGCCTCAGTGTGGGCTACCTGAGGGTCAAGAGCTACTTCAAAGGTACAAGGCTCATGCTGTTGTATCATAGCAACATCATTCATTAAAAGTGCACTATAAGAGAGGGGACAAGATCAAGTTGCCCTGAGACTGTACGCACATGGGAAAAACAAAGATTTTATCATCTGTTTTTACACTTACCACGGGCATGAAAGGGCCTTGCTCAGCCTCTAGAAAGTTGGGTATTTTTAAGCAAAAAACTTCTCCACATAGAGACTCTGTCCCAGTTTGTATTTCGTAGTGATAGGGCCAATATTGATACAGGTGATCAGTGCTTAAGTTGGTTAAAAAAGATTGTGAAATAATATGATCAAATACAGTATATGCGCAAAGAATTCACCCGCGAGCAGAGCATGCAGTGGTTTCCACTCTTGAACATCCTTTGAAAAAGATCCACAAAGGGATATTTAGGCCATCTTCATTCATAAGTTAGTTTAAAGTAAGAAAGAAAGAGAGAGAAGTGCTCCTCCTCCTCTGTGTCCCTCAGCATTGTGCGTGCATAGAGCAGCAGCAGTGGGGGAAAAGCTGCAGCGACATAGAGAACAGCGGAGCAGATCCAGGTTTAGTCTAGTCCTTTAAGTAATACAAATTAAGAGTAAAAAACACATTGTACATTTAGTATATTGTAATAATCAGTAGTTATGTATGTGGGGATTTAGACAGCAGGACTGGTGTTTAAAGCATGTTCAATGCATTTAGGCAATTTAAAAAGATTTAATGAAAACTACTTAATTTGGTAATTTTTATAACTTCATCAACACATAAAATACATTCACAGCACACTCTATAAAAAAATTTGACCAGTTTAAAATCATGTGCACCCTATCTCGCGTCTCATCTCGTCTCACCCCTATACACTATGTATGTTTTCTGGTGGAGAGTACATCACCTGGAAAGTGCCACAGTATGATATTAAACTTGTATTTTGCATTTACAATTACACAGTTTTTATTGGTTAAAAATAAATATAAAGTAGAAAATGTTGATTAATGTACACTGTCCATGCTAAATAAACCAAACAAATAAATAAATAAAAACATAAGGCAAACCCTCCACAGGAAAAGTTGCACAGT